CGGGCGGATCGAGGGCGGAGCGCGAGAGGAGCGCGGTGGCAAGGGCGGCGGCGGCGGCCGGGATCTAGGCTAGGGCGGGAAGTGCGGCCGGCGGGGCGGCTGGAGCGAAGTCTGAGTGGGACGAGGACGACGCTGGGGGACCGAGTGTGAGGGGGCGGAGGCAGCGGGAGGAGCCGGCCAAGAGCAAGCGGGGGGCGCAGGGTAGCACACGCCAGGCTGGGAGGGGTCGGAGGGGGGCGGGAAGTGGGGGATGGAGCCCGCGGTGGGGAAACTCACCGAGGGTCAGCGCTCAGGGATCCCCAGCCGTCTCCGGAGGACACATCCTAGTGCGCCTGCCCAGGTCCTCTTGCTATCCGACTCCAGGGCGTTTCACTATCCTCATGATAGCAACCAACTGGCCTTCTTAAAATCCCTACTTAAATAAAATCTGAAGGCTAAAATAAAGTCAAGTATGAAGCTAGAAGGAGCTCTAACAATTATATGTTATATGCACAAACGTGTGCTTAGTGCAATCCCAGGAGACCCTTTACTACAATTAGTTCAAAGACTAATTGCAGCAACCCTGAACTTGACAAAGAGTGGGGCTGTTTAGCAGAGGCAGGAAGACCCTCCCCTTAGATCTGTCCTTGCAGCATACCTGTCTCAGCCCCTCTGCTGGGAGTGTGTTATAAATTTTCAACCAATTTCTTCTTAATTCTCAAATTGAGGTCCCTGAGTTTCCGCCCCAGAATCCCTAAGGGGTGTGTTCCAAATGTAGTTGCCTAGGCCCCTCTTCCTGTCGGAGGTGGAGTGAGGACCCTATAATCCAAGGCAGCCTCAGGAACCTTGAGGACTGCATTGAGGGTGGGGGCTGGGGGTAAGACAAGGGTGTTCCTCCATGGTGTTGGGTTCTCTTGAGCCTCAGAGAGGAAACGTGGAGTGGAGTGGAAGAGGTACAAGAGAAGGATACCTCTTTTCCTGCTCCAAGGAGGAAAGGTTCAGTCCCCATTGTCAGTCCCAGAAGGAATCCCAGGTTCCTGGGCATAGCCTTGTCTTGCATGGGAGGGCCCCTGGGGCACTGGTGGGGAGGAATGCATGGATTTCCATAGGCAGAGATGTAGTGAAGAACTTTCCAGAAGGACGTAACCACATAGACACATCGGTGGAATGTTCAGATTATGGGTTTAGCAGTCTCAGAATTTGGATGCTCCGTATCTGGCTTTGCAGCTTCAGAGCAGCCAATTTGGTTGGCAAGCCTATATTTAGACGTGCTCAATTGCACAGTGACATGAGTGGCTGGTAGCTGACACCAGCTCTGCAGGCACCCCAGTCTTCCTCTCCAAAACTTTGTTTGCTGAGTGGGTATATGTGAGGAGGTGAATTAAGTTTTCTGATCAGTCAAGGGAGAGTATGGAATTTACTTTGTTGTTGCTTTTCTCCCCCTTCTCCCAGCCCCTTTTTCACCCTCACCTCAAATGCACAAACTCCAAGTACAAAAACCATAGACCCTTTGCACCACTCCCATCCAGCTGGTACATCCCAATACCCACTCCTCCCCCATATTCCTCCCTATGTTTAGTGCCCTATCAGGAGGGTGAGGGTGGTGGAGAGGGAGTGACCTGACAATGAAAAAAATGTTGACAACTTCATAATTAGAACGATATTACTAGAGAATAAATGACTACAAATTTATTTAATCTACCATATGTTTTATTTTTAATTCCACCTTAGAAAAATGGATATTATACAGTAAGGCTTCATGGCATACTTTTTACTGCTGTAGAACAAAATAGGCTGAACATTTGGGAGAAGGATAGATACAGATAGGTATAGCTTGCTAGATATAGATGTATTTCAATTGTAAAAGTAAATAATTCTTATAACAATTATTATTTATTGAGAGCCTATTTGTGGCTGGAGGACTGTGCTAAACACTTCAAATGCACATTCAGCTTCACAATAACTTTGTGAGGCAGATTCTATTTTTATAACCATATTTTAAAATGAGGGGCAGAGGCCTGGAAAGACTAATGACTCCCCCATGGTCACACAGCTAGTAAATGGTAAAGTCATGTTGTGAAATCCATGTCTGACTCCAGTTGAAGACTAACAACTGCCCTATATTATTCAATAAGTACAACTTTTCTATTTCCATCTCTTTAAAAACTATGTAAACTATCCCTATGATGGAAATTTTACAGACGTTGCATCTTGTGCACTTTTGAAACAGTCAGAATTCCTAAAATAAATGAATAAATACTGGATGCAACTTATGTATAGCACTCCAAATTATAGATAAAGGCAAAAATATGATCTATGAGATATATTTTCTTTTTTACAAATTCTTTTTAATTAATATGGAATATAATAAATACGCCTACATTGTTGTAAAAATAACACCCATATAAATAGTCCAGGCATTATGTCTCTCCACTTTTTTGATAATATATTTATGCAATATTTGTGTATAATGTGTTTGTAGTCACTGTTCAGGTTACTATTTTGTATTGATAAATGAGGTGTGATAATTTCATCTAAAATATGGTACATGAGACGCATTTCATTTATGTCTACACTTTCAGATTTTTCTGAGTTTTTTATTTAAAGATGTAAGATTTAAAGACCAGAGTCAAGTGATATTGAGAAATTTAGAGTGTTGTATATCAGCTTGCAAATTTGAACCTTTATTTGTATCTGATTACTTCCATTTTTAGGAAAACAATGTCTGCTAAAACCTAAAGTTATACACAGTACATTTATAGTTAAAGTAGTAGATGAAATGACATGATAACAAAAAAAATTCATGGCCTTCTGAGTTTCAGGGTCTCTATTAGGTATTTTTGTTACCTATGAAGGCCACTGTGTATGAGTGTTAACATCTTGTCAGTCATTACTAATTTATTTCTGTATTCATTACTGCTTTTTGCTACTAACATACCCCTGATGAATTTGTATTAGCCATACCTATCTACCCTACACCAGATTCCCCTTCATTGGGTGGGGGCTTATATGAGTGGTTTCAGACCACTGTCTCATCCTGTTCTCTAGTTACTTCATATATTTAAATGTTATTTTCTTTTTTCTTTTTTTTTAATGTTATTTTCTTAATCAGATTGTAAAGTTCTCAAGGGGTTATGTAACATTTCCTACTACATTCACACCACCACATAGTTCTAGGTATGCACTAAATGGTTTATAAAACTTGTGATTGTCCTGTTAGTAAACTATTAGAATAAAGGAGAGAAAGAAAAATGAAATATCAAAAAGTAGAAGTAAGATTTTTGAAATCAAATTATTTGAGTTGTGAAAGTGAAGGATTTGAATTGATTTGTAATAATGCCACATAACTTGTTTGAAGTTAATTTTTTTTTTTTTTTGGGTTTCCTAACATCACAAATGTCTTCTAGGTTTTACCAAGGACCAAAAATGCAATTCGCCTAGCTGCCATGTTTCTCTGACCGCGCGCGGAGCCGCCCCCGCCGCCGCCGCCTCAGGCTCCTCACCCGCCGCCGCCGCCGCCGCCCTTAAGTTAAATTTCAAACAATTTATGTGACATTTTTCTATCACCTACCTATCTATCTATCTAATCTATCATCTATCATCTATATTTATATGTGTTTCTTTTCAGCTTATTGGACAATTTTATCAACTGTGTCTGTCCAGCTTTCTAATCTCTGAATGAAGAAAAGGATCTATTTAGCCAGTAAACAAGTTAGGTTACCAATTTAAAATTAGTTAAGGCAGAAGATTTATTTCACTATGGTGGCATGAATATAAGTTTGGTTATTAGGTATGATTCAAATTATTTTGAAAATATTACTAATTTTAGCCTCAAAGCTAAAAGAGAAAGAGAAAAGTGGGATAATAGTAGAACTGGTGGGTCAGTAAGTAGACTTTTAGAAGAACTATTCAATTATGAAAATTTATTTTATACATTCTTCTATACAAAAATAGATCTTAT